TTCCTACCACTTCAATAGACAGCATGCGACTCACATAACTACTAATTACATTCTTACAAAAAATAACAAAACCATGTCCTGAAGGATGTAACAGAAACACTGACAGGCAAACAAAACTTCATCACTAGAGACATCTGATTTCTAGAAAAGCTTGGAAGAAGAAAATGATTCCAGAAACTACCAACTCAAATCAAAGCAACATCCAATACAAGATGTTTCCCTGGGAAGAAAGTTAAACAGACAACATTTCTGGGCAGTATGAACTACCATTTTAATGACTATGGTGTTTAAACACAGTGGTCAAAGCCAGCTCTCAATTGCACCATTTTAAGTCTGGAATATCTTTATACATAGAGCAGAACTCGGCTACTCCCGTTGATTTGGTTGCATTTCATTCACTAGGTTCCATTCAACTAAAATTATATTTTATGTGAAACATACTGCTATTTACATAGATAGGAAAGGAAATCATGTTAATTACAAAGTTTTCTTTCTGCATACTAAGCTTAGTGCCGCCTATTAAGTGGGCCAAATCCTGTCTTTACTCAAGCAAAACTCCCCTTTCAGCAGAGCCATATCTCCATATCATCTTAACATTCTTGAAAAAAAATGGCCAAAATTAAAGTACAAAATGTACATAATGCCAAAAGATATTAGGGGCTATTCCAATAGGAATATTCCAATCAACTTCAATAGGCTTTGGATCAGGCTCTAATAAAACAAACTAAACAGAGAGGAAAAAGGTTTAGGAAAACATTTATTTTCCTGTACACTGATATACAATATTTTCAGCAGATATATACTTATCAACACTGAGACAAACCTCAGATGAAAAGAATGTTTAATTGGATTATAACATAAAACCTATTAAAACATTTTATTTATTGTTCAAACATATGATGACCTGGCATTGGATTGCAGAATACGTTCTTTCTATTTACATTTTTATTATTTAAATCAAGTTTTCCTCCATCTTAATAAAATATCTCTTCTTTCATTGATGCTTCTCTATGAACAGGTTTATTTCATTCAAACCTGAAGCTGTACTATACTGTACCATGATCGATTATTAATAGTATCGTTTTTTTAAGAGTATTTGCACACAAACGCTTTTCTAAATTTGCGTTAAAAAAACAAATAAACAATTATGATCAGAAAAGTCTTATTTAGGGAAAAAAATCATTCATTCAGATGTGTACCAGAGATAACAAATGCAGTTATTGTCACTCCTAGTCTAAAAATGTTTATTCTACTAATTCTACACTATTCACTACATAACACATCAGAGACAATTTCAAGGGCCGTTTA